GTGTGCCCAAGAATCTCTCAGGGCAGAGCTTTGCCCCCCTCTGATGTTTCAGAGTCCATGTGGAATCTCCTGGAACTTTGGCTTCAATAGGAGATGTTTTGTTTTGGTTTGTTTTTTATGTGACAACTGTGGCTGTGAAAAGCATCTCCTTAATGCTCCAGTAACTTATAAAAGGGTATAGTTTTCCTCTCTTCCTGTCACTAACAAAAAAGTTCAGGAAAAGTATCTTTCACTCCTCCCCAGTTCTTTTTCATTATTTTGCAATTGAACATAATGTGAAAGAAGGGATGTTAATTATATTTGTTAATTAATGCAAGCAAATAAGTGTCATCATCTCCATCAGTGTGGTTACTTCCCATTTGAGAAGCATATAGGGAAAGAGGAAAGGTGAGAATGAGGATGAATATATCAAAATAAACATCCCAGGTGAGCTGAGGTTCTATATCCTATCAACCCCCATCAAAGCAAATGAAAATGGGTTTGGTAATTTTCACATAGTGCCCAAATCTTGTAAAGGCTCTGCTACTGTTCCCTTATGAATTTCATTTTTTTACTCCAGAGCAAGGAAATAATATCTGTGATTTTTTTTTTTAAGCTGAGTAAATGGCAGAGAGGGGAGTTGTTCCAAACTTTTTTTGATAAATATCTTAACAATTTCAACTGGAATCTTGACACAAAATAAAGGGATGGAGGGAAACATTCCAAATGTAAAACAGCAAGCAAGATTGTCCAAGTTATGAGCATTTCAATCTTGCAACTGAAATTATCAAACAACCTTATTAATAAAGGGTATGGCATATTCCAGCTATAATTTATTGAAATGTTTTTAATTTTAGGATATCTTTGTAATGCTCAGGAGGAAGAGACACCAACCACACCCTCTGAAGATTTTTCACCTACTATGGTACCTAGTCCAGCTCCTAAAAGAAAAACATACGAGAGTGATTATCTTCCTTCAAATCCTGAGTCAGTTCTTCCCTCAGGTGTGCACATCTGTGTCTTGGGAATACATGGTTCCACTTTTGTGCTGTTGTTTTCCAGCCAATGACTGTCCTTAGAAGAATTGTGAGCACAAACCAATTTAGCAGCAATATAACCCTGTGATTGATTTAAACAGGTTTCCACCTTTTTCCACAGAGGTGGAAGCTGAAGCACAAAGAATATTTCAGACATCTCAACACAGCCTAAATAATTGTCTGTCAAGGGGCAGGAAAGGTATCATTTAATATAAAATGTCAGGCATTTTCTGTGATCAGTGGCTAGCTATTCTGTGCCAAAAAAGAACACTGATGAGGACTAAAACAGAAGAAAAGATCCCCCAGACCTGTGAAGTGTCTCTGTTTTTTCTGTGGCACCTCTCTGTGCAGCACCTGCCCCTGGGACTGTCTCAAATGCCACGCTGCTCCCTCTGGGCTTTCTGGAGTGACTGCTTTCTCAAGCCATCACAGGCTGCATGACACTTCCTAGCTGCAGGCTCAGAACACTAATGCCTTCTCAAATCCTACTCTTGGGGGGCTTTGGGGGGTGGGGTTAGCTGCTGGGGTAGGGTTAGTAGCTGAAGTGCCAGGGATTTCACTGCCCAGGGGGCTTTGGGGGGTGGTGGTCTCCACAGCAGCTGCTGGGGTAGGGTTAGTAGCTGAAGTGCCAGGGATTTCACTGCCCTCCCTATTTCCTCCTCTTGTAGTCTCTCTGCTTCTTATACTGAGGTAGGAAAGGCAGCTTTAGCTTCATTACATGTGGCTGTGCAGTTTCCTCAATAATTTTTATTATTTTCCTTTTAGAAGAAAGAAGTCTGCCAGCTCTAGTAGGTAAGTTGACAATTTCAACATATTGTACTTTTGCTTAAATAATTTTTTCTTTACCTAAGTTTTGAATTTTTAGCTTGGTTATGGAATACAAAAACTATGTATGGACCTGTCTTTAGCCTGAAAAACTCTATTTTCATATAATAGTATTGAAGACACTCCTTAATTGCAAGTCATGGTATTTCTTTGGTGATTTGAGTAATGACAGTATCACTCAACCAGACTAAACCAGAGTAATTTGCTTTCTTATTACTATCACTTTGGGCCTTTTTCTTTTAATAAAATCTGTAACACAAATACTCAAAAAATAAAAGTATTGTAATAGTCTGTGACATGATTGGCTTATTTCTGTACAAACCCAGACCTGAATGAGATTTTTGTTTGTAGGAAAAATCAAGACCTGTATTTTAGTGCCACATATAACTATTTTATGCTACATAATTACCCACCACAAATGTAGGTAATAATTTTTTCCTTGTCTTAATGGCTTAGAATCATAGTTACCTTTCTTTTTGCTCTTCTAGTGGCAGGAGTCAGCATTGCCCTTGTGTTGCTTTGTATTCTCATAGTTGCTATTTTTTGGTATGCATGGAAAAAATCACAGGTAAGTCCAATTTTTTTCTTTGATTTTTTGTTACTTTGTGTCTAATATGTATATATTATAGAACATTAAATTCCAGCTTTCCACTTGTCACTCAGGTTTCTGATGTTCATTTGCACTATAGTTATTTTTCCACTGGGAGGAGTTTTTTGTCACCATTGGATGGCATTCTTAAAATTAGGCAGCTTATAATCAAAATTTAATTTACCTCAGCTGACCTCCCTTCCTGGGTAGGACCTGCTCACATTTTTGTAGGAATGGTTTTTGGTTTGCAGGATTTTTTCATAGAAGGTCCTGCATCAGCAATGAAAACTGAAGTGTTCAAGTGAGTTTTATCTGTCTGAATTATTTTAGATCCTATAATTACTTATCATAATTTATGCTATAATAACTTATTTCAGACAGTCTTATCTGTGATGAGTTAATATTGATAAAAATTAAAATACTAGGTAACTTATAATATGAATAAATAGAGTAACACTATAGAAACAGATATGCAAAAATAGCCTGTTACTGAAACAATTTAAAAATAAGGAAAAACGTGAGGAGAACTAATATTATATTGACATTACTGGTTTTCCACTTGTGTAGCTCAGTGATGATGATGCACTTGTGTTTCTTTCCCAGGAAGGTTCAATTGAACTCAATCCCATCCCCTACGGTGAGGCTGGAGTGTCCTTACGGAACCTCTCGGTGCCTGGGAGCCAGCAGGAGTGGCCTTTTGAGAGAGCAGTGCAGTGACAGCAGGGGAGTGCTGCACCACCCTCTGGGAGGAAAGAAAAGCCCTCTCGAGTGTAGATAGTTGAACAGCACCCTCAAAAAACCCTGTATCTGCAAAAAAAGTTACATTCTTGAAGTCATAAATGTCCTGGTTAGGGAAAATGCCACACTTAGACTATTTTTTAATAAATTAAACCTGCACAGGAACACAACCACTGTTGAGATGAGCTGAAATGGCCACTGTTTGTGCTTGTATACCTGTGAATTTCCTATTGGAAATGGCTCCTGGAAGGTTTTAGCTTCCAAAATCTGGCTTGGGCCACAAACTAGTTTACCAGCATAAACAGTGCTATTCCAGTGCCTGGGAGTTTCCTAGGCATTGTTTTGTTTGCTAGTCTAAATATTGTTATCATTTACAGTTTATTTTAAATTACAGTTGATACACCCACCCACTCCTGGTCAGGGACTATTCAAAGATGATCACGGCAAGCCTTTGCTTGCTCTTTGTGCTACTCAGTGGAAGAAGTCATGGAAGTGTGACAGTATCATCCAATAAAATTCAGGTTTTCGGGCTTAACTGATTCTTAAATTTAAAATCAATTTAGTAATAATCAAGAGTCATCCTTGCACTGTTTCTTCCCCTGACTGAGTAGCACTAATGTGTGCCAGGTCCCTTCAGCAGCCCGTGAGTGCTGTGGGGCTGTAGCTGAGCAGGAGCTGGGTGATGTGGGGCCCAAAGGGCTGCCCTGCAGTAGCTTGGTACAGGCAGGAGGAGCAGAGAGGCAAGGGGGTTATCTGAGATGGCTCCATCAGAATATTCCTGTGTGAGCTTTGGCAAGTGACCCTTATTCCTGAGACTGAGCTCCTGTCTGGACTGCAAGACCAGCAGTATGTCCTTAGCTTATATTTGTCTGTGAAGATAAATATATTTGAAAGCATGCAGTGTGTGAGCCCCACAGCAGTGAAGCTACCCTGAGAGCTGTAAATTGGCAGGAAGGCACAGATTCTCTTTTTATGTAAACCTTCTCAAATCAGTATTAATTTACCTATTAATAGTGAAGAAGTCCATGTCAGCTTTCAAATTCAAGTGCCAGCTGACATTTTCTACAAATAAAGGCATTTTCTTTGTGAAACTCCAGAGATTTTCAGATGACTTCTGTGAAATAAAATGTGAAGGAATATTTGAAAGCTCATCCCTTTTTCCATCAGCTCCATAGATAACAATATCTTTTTCATTTCTGTTCATTTGCTCTGAGTTTAAGAATGAGGTAATTGTATTAATTTTATGTCTTGCAATATTATTTAGGGTGGAGAGTTTGGCTAAATCTGCTTTCTGTATGGTGGTTTTTATTAATGTGCATCTTCTGTTTTTATTTGATTTAATAGAAGTTTTGTAAGTGCTTAAATGCTTTTCTAGATATTAGATCAAGGGTGCCCTGGGCAAAAAACAGTATTAGCTGAATACAAAGGAAATAAGAATAACAAATATTTGTGAGAAATAATTAATATAAACAATGTTTACAGTGCTTTTTAATTGATGTTTCCAAGCCTCTTTGTGAATAACTTTGCTTTTGAAAACACTTTCAGAGTGGTTGTATTTTTTTCCTGAGCTTTTACAGAACTTGTGTGCTAGAAATAATATTTAATATTTGTTATTTGGTGTGTTCATGTTGGTTATTGCACTGTTGAAGAGGTTTGTGATTGCTGAAAAAATTTTCCTCTGCCTTGGGTGGCCAGTCCCAGAGGAGTGGATGCTGAGTACTTAGGAGATAAACCTGTGGGTTTGAAATTACTTGTGTCAACGAAGCCTGAGCAGCACCTGTGCTCACAAATTGGGGGTTTTTGGCCCACACCTCTGCAGTTCCCTGCAGTTCCCTGCCTGCCAAGCAGGGGAGCAGCTCCTGGGAATGATGGAGCTGTGGAGGAGAGGGCAGTCCCAGCTTTCTGGGAAACGGGAGATGGTATGGCAGAACTTGAGAGACACATATTCTGTGGCTCTGATTTGGAAATGAGACAGGAAATAAATGACAAGGGAGAGCTCTGTGGAAATCAGGAAAGCCCTGATGAGCAGAAGCTGCGGATGTGGAAGCCAGAGCAGCAGCACTTCCTACCTGTGATTTGATTGTCCTTACACTCAATTGAAAGGTAAGCATGTTTTTAGTTTATTCACACTTCTTTTCCACTATAGGAAATATGAGTAGGAATTGCCTCAATTTGAAGGAAAGGAGTTTTATGTCATTTAGAGATGAGTCTTTTTGAGTTCAAGAAGAGAAAAGCAAACTACCCAAAGTGGGGTTGGAGCCTTGCCAACTGGGGATTACTTTTAAAAACAGATTACCCAAATTACCCTTATTACCAGCACAGTGTGAAGAAGGTTGCATTTAATAGTCTCTGCAGGTCCCTTCAAGCCCTGAACTTCCAGTTCCCAACAACTACCACAGCTAGATAGGTGTGTTTGTACAGCAGCTTGTTCCATTTGTGGATAACTTGCAAAAAGCTGTAAAGCCCTGTACACTGCAGCCAGCAGCACGAGGAATAGGTGCCTTAAAAAAAAAAAAATAAGCATAGGGGCTGATGTGGGTGATGTTCCTCACTTTGTATTCAAACTTTTTCAAATTTACTGCCTTACTAAGCAATGCAGACTTGACCAGTAAAACATGCTGAAGACATTAGTTTCATCACTCAAGATCTCTTCTCCCTCCCTTTAAAAAAATCTTACAGAGTAGTTCATTGCCTTCTTCATCTTTTTACTATGAGACCAGTGTACAATTCTCTTTCCTTTTCACCTGCCATTCGTATTACAGAACCTCTAGCACAACTGTTTTGTCTTCCTAACTAACAGTGTAACTTATTCTCCATTGATTTAGAGTTTAGCACTTTAAAAATGTGAAAGCACATCTGCTTTTAATAACTGGAGGCTAAAAATGGAAAGCTTACTTTACTTTCTGGGGTAATAATGGCAATTTTTACAGTTTCTGCAAAATTTTTAAAAGTTGGTGTCTGCACTTATGGTGAAACACGAGTTTGAAGGAAAAAGGATGTCTGGCTAAAAAACGTGGTCAGTATTTTACATAGTCACTGGTATTAGTTATGTACATCCCTGGATTTATACACTTTAGCCATTTGGTCACAGCAAATGATTTTCTCTTGCTTGCCATAAGGATGAACATAAATTGAAAGGTTCACCACAAGCTGCATTAACCTCTGTCTCATAAACAGAAGAAGAAGAAACAGGAGAAAAATTTTCAGTGTGATTAAAGCCAGGCTGTAAAATCTTAGACATCTTTAACCCTTAAAACCTTTCTTATGCAAAGTCATCCTTCAGGCCTTAAAATTTTTAATTGTAGCCTATTGTTTTTCCATTCCTCCTCTGTATATGCTAGAAACAAACCCAGCAGCAGCCAGTGTGTTTTCCTGCCGATGGAGGTTTAACTTATAAAAAGAAACCAGATAGAATATTGTAAAGGGGAAATATGCTAAGGGGTTATGAGAAAGGGTGTTATTAACAATCTGTGTCTTTATTTAGACAGAGAGTAGGTGCAGCCACTCCTGCCAGGCCATTTCACAGCACCTCAAACAAGAATGTGCAAGCACGTTGCAGTGAATTGTCAAAACTCTGTTGGACTGCTCTGTTCTTCAGCAGTCCTTACCAAGAAGCAGAGCATCCAACAGGCACGCTGACCAACACATGTGGTACCTTTCTGGCTCACAAACCTTCCTGCCAGTGAGCTTTGGGCCAGGCTAATGGCTGGAAGCAATGGTGTTGGACACAAACTGGATGCTTTCTGCTGACAGCACTGTTGATGGAAAGGCATCAGTCCATTGGCAGGGAGTTTCCAAGCAGCTGATTTCAAAGCACTAAATTTTGCTGTCAGACACCACTTTAGAATCATGTTTTAATAGCATTCAAATAATTGACCATGGCTTTCTGTTCCCTCCTGTGTGTGCCCAAGCACAGTATGGAGAGTGACAGAGTAGGACATCTGTGCTCTCTGATCTGGGGCCTCCAGTCCACAAAAAGAGCGGGAATGGGGTGTATTCTAATGTGTGCCAGTGATAAGGCTTGTGTGAAGTGCCCTGCAGAGATAGGTTCTCCTGTGCCCCTCCCTGGCAACACCCTCTTTTTCACTTCATGCTGGCCCTAACTTCATTTCTTTGGGGTTTGTTTGTTTTGCACAAAAATTATGTTTTGAACAAGAAGCAGCAGAATTTCTTTCGCCATGTTGTGCCATCGAAAATACACCAGACGAGGAGAACTTTTTTCCTGCAGTTAGTGAGGGATCATTTTGTGTAGCTGACGTGTAGCCTTAAAAACGGAATGCCTGGGCTGATTTTAATAGATCAACTTTGTGCATATTTCAAGTATACCTGCATCCATTTGAACAAAAATGAAAGAGGAACTACTGGAGGACTATTTACTTAAAATTTTTATCAGACTAACTCTTACACTTTGTAGCAACCTCCAGCAAAAATTCTGAAAATTTAATAGTACAGACTGGACAGGTCAACATAAAGATGTATAAGCCATATAGAAAAAATTGTGTTTCACATACTCTGGTTAACATAGTTCTTGAGTATGTAGAATCATAGACTTGTTTTAGATGGAAGAAACCTTGAAGATCATCTATTTCAAATCCCTTGAAGGGTAGGAACAACTTTTACTAGGCCAGGCTGTTCACAGTCCAGTCCCACCTTGTGCAAACATTTTGGTTTTTCATTATTAAAGACAGCAAAATCAATGCTGAAACAAAGCAGAGTCCAGTTCCCTCTCTTCTCCACAGAAAGCAGAAGAATTGCTGCTGTTAGCAGAGAGTAAAAATATTCAGAGGAATCAAACCTGTTTAGCCAGTGAGTGACTGTAACAAGCTTTCAGTAACCACTAAGGTAGCTGTTGTTCTCTAGGGGAAAAAGACACATTTTTACATTGTTTATTCTATCAGCTTTAATAGTTGGTGAAAATCTGATATTTGCACAAGGAGCCCTTCTTCATCTAGCACAGATGTTGTACTGTTCTGCAATGCTGATGTTCATATGGACTGTTGTTAAGCAAAATTGTGACATTTTGAAAAGTTGGTCATGATGCTTTGTGCTTCTTGGGACTCAAGCCCAGACCATACAGGAGGTTTCAGAAGTGTTGCTGATCATCTCTAAACCATATTAATTTTCGTTTTAACTGTGAGCCAAACTGTGCAAATTTTCTCACACCAGTAATTGACAGGAGTCATCAAAACCACTCACAGGAGCAATTTACTGAGCTTCATTTCACTTGCTCTGTGCTACAGATATTGTGCTGCTATTCTCTTCTACTATGCCACTTCTTTATAACTAAAACTCTAGATTCAGATCCCTTTTGTGTTAACAAAGGAATTCCTTTTACAGTTTCATCCAGTTTGGCATACTCTTTTAGGGGCTATAATTCCACCAGTGCATGCTACTCTGAGCTTGCAAAGTGCCTTCTGAGAGTAAAAAGCTGCTCTGGGATTCTGACAGAACACATGAGCACAGACCTATTTGTGCAAGTTGTGTCAGAAGAGAAGTGCTGTCTGAATAACGGGAGAGGGAAATAATCTGGCATTCTTCAGTCCAGATCTGCAGTTTCAGCAGCAGATGGCTCAGATGCTGCAGGGTCTGGGTATATGAATAGGGACATTGTTATTCCCCCCTCAGCCTCATTACACCTTGGCAGTCTGTCTGTGCCCCATTGTCACCCCAGAACAAGCCTTGATCAAGATGTATAATCCATGCATTAAATAAGTGCATTTTTAAATGGGATTATGGTAAGGATTATTAACAAGTTCTGATTAACAAATAACAAATTCTGATCTTACTGCAATTAGAAAAATTTATTTATCACCTCTGCATTTTGGATCTTAGCATCTTGAGACATTCCAGTGACTCAGGAGGCTGGAATTTCTTCCTTAAGAATTCCAAGACCAGTGATAGGCTCTGATGATAGAAAAATACTCTGTAATCATCAGAAAGATTCCCATTAAAATAATGACATTGCAAAAAATTCTTTAAAAGCAAAAAAAGGATGTATTGACTTCTTGGAAGTGCATAGATTCAGTATTAGAGGGAGGAGGTTACAGAATCCTGGAATGTGCTGAGTTAGAAGGGACTCATTAGGATCATTGAGTCCAAGTCCTGGCCCTGCACAGCACCATCCCCAAGAGTCACACCCTGTGCCTGAGAGCATTGTCCAAATGCTTCTTGAGCTCTGTCAGCCTTGGTGCTTCCCTGGGCAGCCTGTTCCAGTGTCCAACCAACCTGTGGGTGGAAAAACTTTTCCTGATATTGAGCTGATTTGATATCCCAATATCCAACTTTAATTTAGGAAAACAGGGAACACACACAACCAAAATTAGGGCATAGCATGTTTAAGGTTTTCAAATATTGAAGATATATTCCATTCAGGATTTGCATTTGTTATACCATCAAGAAAGGTCTAGAGCTGGGGGAAGGGTAAGGGAAGCTACCTTTCACAAGGTAAGGTAAAACACCTGATACTTCTAGATTTTATTAAACCCCTCAAGTTTCTATTTCAAACTATTTGTAATACTTTTGTTTAAGAAGCTGAGTCCATTTCTGGGATTTGTAGTGACTGAAATTTTTAAGGGTTTGCTTTCAGACATATATTTTTCAGGAACACTCAGTAGGGGTGAAAAGTAACAAATTAGGAAAAAAAGAAAGTGGCCACCAGCTGCAGTAAAACATTAGGACTCTGTAGAGTATTTGTGCCTGCTGCATTTGATATGAGCCACCACAGCAAGCTAGTTTCCCCTAATTCTAAATTCTAAATGGATTCTTTCCTTTCAGTAAGCTCCTGATCAGCTTGTGCTGGTGGAACTGAGATGAAGAGACTTTGTTCTACATATTTTATACTAACCAAGCAAATGAGAAATGTGACTCCTTGGTCACAGGCTACTTATTTATCAGGAAAATTAAACTGATTCTAGAAATGTTGGCAGGAATCCCAGTATTTTTGAAAAAGTGGATGTTATTTCACACATTTTACTAACGAGCATTTTGGTTAGTGCCAATAAAGGCCATGGTTTTTCCCCCACTGTGCAGGTATTTGCTAGGAAGCCAACTGAGAAAATTAAGCAGGTGTGCACGTGCTCATTACAAACATGATTGGGACCAAA